TTTTATTTCTCAATCCCTATATATATCCTCAAAGGAACAAAGTTTTGATTCTTCCCGATGACTCCCGTTATGTTAAGACACTACAAAACCCTCAGATATACAAGGGTACACACTGTGGCACAGCACAAAGCAGCCTTCGATAACTTTCATGAAAGCAAAACAGCCCAAGCACAAGAACTACTTACTTGCTCTTTATTTTGAAGAAAATATTTTACTTGCCAATCAAAATAAGTTGCTCACCTGAGGCTAACATAATTTTGCAAAACTGGAATGAGGAGAAATCTGTGCAGTGGGAAAGAAATGGCACGGTACTAAACAAACATGTTAGGACTTTTGTCCCTATTCGGTGAAAAAGGTATTGATTCCCTACTCAACTCTCAAACTCTTCAAGCAGGTATTCTTATAACAGTCTTGGAAGTTTAATCATCCTGCTCCGTATCAAGGAAGAGTGGTCACTTTGGGGTAATACATGTTAGGGTTATAGCTCTTACTTGAGGTGAAATACCTTATTTCAAGCCTTTACCTCCTCGTCTTCTCACCTGTTCCTCAAAATCGCATTCTTACCGATGACCATATCAGCCAGTACAACAAACTGGACTTCCATCCCCAGCAAAAGCTGTCTGAGTCTCTGTCCAAAGTGCTGTTTTCGGCAGTATCTCATGTGGAAAGCGTAGTGGTGTAACAAAAGTTACGTGTTCCCATCACCTTCTTAGAATTCAAAAGCCATCAGAATTCAGTTTGGAGCAACAGACTGCGACATGAGACACCTTCTCAAAGGAGAAAGAGATGGCACTGCAAGATTGCCATAAGGCATATGGGTATTTGCTTGTAAGTAATGTTTCAAAAGCCAAATTACCTTTTTCCTCCAGTTGAAGTGACTGTTCAGCATGACTCAGAGTCCAAAAGCGCTGGGGATCTATCCTTACCAGATGCTATTTTTCTATCCTTTTCTCACTTGCCCATTTCAATTGGGTGTAAAAACTAGCCAAGAAGGTTTTCCAGATAAAATCATCTCCAGGCACACGCACACACACACACTCAACAATGAAATGTCTACTGACATTAAAACATTAGTACGCTGCCATTTCATATGCTTTGGTAGCCCACAGATGTTTTCTGCAGAGCACCCTTACTGATCCAAGCAAGTCTGTGGATTTTCACTACACCTGAAAAGGTCTAACAAGGCATTAAAAGGACCCCATCAAAAATACCACAAAGGACACTTTACACAATGGAAAAAGAGCCAAGTACAAAGCTAGACGGCAGCTGCACGCCCGCCAAAGAGCACAAAGCTGTTTTTCCAGCATCTGAAAAGCACTTATAATGGAATACACAGACTGAAATCCCAATTATTCCCTCCTCTCTTAACATGTGATCTTCAGGGGGCGTTATCAAACTATTCCACCTCACAGCTCCCTCCACCTTGTGACATCCCTCACCCTTCCTGCTGCCGGCTCAGCGACACGGGACAGTGACTAAA